GGGTTCAAGCGATTCTCCTGTCTCAGCCTCCCGAGTAGCAGAGAGTACAGGCACACACCACCATGCCTGACTAATTACTATGTTTTTAGTAGAGATGTGGTTTCACCATGTTGTTCAGGCTGTCCTGGAACTCCTGACCTCCAAATGATCCACCCGCCTCAACCTCCCAAAGTGCTGGGGTTACAGGAGCGAGCTACCACGCCCGGCCTGAGCTTAATTCCTAAAACAGTTTTCTTAATTCCTAAAACAGATAAAAATAGTTATGTTTTAGAATTGCCTTGATGGTTAAGTGATATATTGTTTCTAAGATGGTTTGAATTGTATGAGCCCAAACTAGTTCCCTCAGTAGATGGCAGCTGTCACTGTTATACTGGTTGATACAAATGCCAATTTGTCTTTTTAAAGATTAAATTGAATTTATTTAATTCTGGGAGTCATAGAATAACATAAATATGATTTAATGTATATAAATTATTTAGTTTAACGTATGAGGCTCTTTAATTATATTTTTTTACTTTTTTAATAGACAAAATCTCAAATAGTATTCAGTGTATTGGATGTTGCCCATCAGTTTATAAAGGATGTTAATCCAGATGAACCCAAAGAGGAGAATAATTCTACAAAGGAAACCAGTAAAATTCAGCATAAACCCAAATCTTTATTTCTCCAGAGGAGCAGCTCTGAGGTAAACTGAGGAAAATATAGTAGACATTTTCTGATATACATAATTATGGCAAGTGCCATTCATGTACTTAAGCTACAGAATTTTGCTGATAATTTCATCACATTATTATTTCATATGGATTTGTCCTTTATTAACCAAATACATCTTGACTATAAAAATCTTTTCAAGAAGATTGTTTTGATTCCACTGAATACTAGTCTTTTTGATGAATGATATTTTGACCATATGTCTTTGTGGACATTTTCATCTATGTCAGGAATTGGATGAGTATTTGCGGAAAACGTTTTTTAAAAAACCACAATGCACTCTACAATTTTATATTAGTCAGGACTGCATTCAGAGAAGCTAAAAATATAAAACCTTGCCAAGAGTTTTAAGTGACAGGCAATTTCACAGTTATTTAAAACTAGATTTATACCAAATTCTGGCAGTTATTTAGATTGACTACTGATCTGACAATGTGCTAGATAAACTTTTATCAACTCATGCCTATATATTTATAATAGGCATATTGATTCTTTAGCAAGAAATGAACTTCAAATTTTGATCTGTGTTATAATCCTCATTCTTTTAGATGCCAGTCACTTTTTCCCTGCAGTTCAAAAATTGTAACTTAGCTGAAGTCATGTTGCTTGTTATGTGTTGACCAAGTCTGGGTTGAAGTTAAATCTGTTGTGTTCCAAACCCATGCTCATAGACGTAAAAGAAAATGTATTCTATGCTAGTAGGACCTATTTTCAACAGAGGAAGTGTGCTTGAATTTTTCAGGAGTGTCAGCGTATTTGTGTGGATTTCACTTTCTAATAGACCTGTCAAGGATATTTTGTGAAGAATCACTGCCTCCTAATTATAACAATAACGTATTGAAGACCAGACACTGCCGTAAATATTTTACACATTATCTCCTTTTGTTTTTTCTTAATCCACTTTTTCAAATGAGAGAATAGTGGCAAGGAATAGTTTTTATAAATTGCCAAAGGTAGAATTGATAATGGAACTTAGATTTCAGCCCAGACCTTCTGACTCCAAATTTCCTGCGTTTAACCATTATCCAGAGACTGTGGCTTTAAAAGTTTCTTCTTCATGCCTGCCTGCCTTTTCATCTAATTTATCCTATTAAAAATAAATCAGTAGCTAACTTTCATTGAACACCTTATGCTAGGCATTGTACTTAATGCTTTACTTGCCTTAAGCAATAATCACAATAACCATGTAAGGTTTGTGCTATTACCCCAATTTAACAGATGAGAGAGAGGTTAAGTAACTAGCCTTACTGGAAAGTGATAGTGTAGCCTCCTCTGTGTTATTTATTAATCTTTACACTAGATGTTTTTCTTGTCTTCATAGGTGACTATGTATGCTATATACATTGTCTGCCTCATTGTCTTAACTTAAAAACCATTAATTCAATTATTTTATCCAGGAGTGTATATTAAAATCAACTGGAGAAACAGTAAAGAAATACATATGATTAAGTTCAGCATCTCCGTGGGTGGGGTTCAGACGTGTGTGTGTGTGTGTGTGTGCGCGCGCGCGTGTGTGTTTAACAACTCCTCAGTGATCCTGGTGAGTGTTCTTGTTGGGAGTCACTGTTATAGATGACAGAGTACACAGTGAAGAGATAACCCCTTCATAGACTTAGTGTTCCTCTGTGCCAAAGAACAATGCTTCTCAAACTTTAATAAGCATCGTAAGAATTGGAGATTGTTAAAAACTTGCATTCCTGGGTCTGTCACCAAATTTGGATTTTTTTTTAGATATTTACCTCTGGATTAGGGCTCAGGAGTCTGATTTTTAATTTAATGGCTAGAAGAACCAAATGGTACCAACGCCTGATGCCTCTCTTATGGGCTTCTTAATGGATCAAAGCCAATGGCACATCCTTGGAAAGAGGTACAGTTCACGAAAGAGCTTACATCTTATGAGCTGAAACCTGGGTTTAAAATAATGATGCTGTTTTTCTTATAGCATTGTAACATTGGGCAAGTTCCTTACCTCTTTTGATCTTCTGTTTTCTGTTTTGGAAAGTGGGGATATTAAAACACATCATCGTACAGGGATATCATGTACTTAGAGGGTAACGAACGTACAGCATTGAATTTCTATGTGCATCTTCAAATGTCTTTTAGAATTGGGCAAGGTCATATTGGACTCTGAGTGGACGTGATATATGACAGTTTTGAGCTGAAACGTTTAAGAGCTAATGTACAACCCTCCAGCTTTTTCTACCCTGCCACAGCTATGTGGAAGCTGATATTCCAGTGGCATAACTCCAAGATGCAAATGTCTGACATCTCTGATTCATTGCTTGGAAGGAAGCTTCCCTGGAGAGCTGCTGAAATTGCTGCATATTGAAATAATTTTATATTAAGTCACTGAGTTTTCAGTGCTTGTTCATTAGTGTAGCATATATACATAGACACACCGACATATTGCTTACTGGATACCAATAAGTACCTTCTCACAAATACTCCTAAGAGTCTATCTTCAAACTAAATTTATCTCCTCTTCCAAAACCTATCAATGTTATTGTTGAAGGTGCCCTACCTAGCTTTCCAAGCCAATGAAGGCAGTTATTTTCTGTTGTGTTTTCACTTCCTCCTCTGCACATCCAATTGGTTACTGTATTAGTCTTCTCAGGCTGCCATAACAAAATACCTCCAACTGAGCGGTTTAAACAAGAGAAATTTATTTTCTACAGTTCTGTAGTCTAGAAGTCCCAGATAAAGGTGCTGGCAATATTGGCAATATTGATTTCTGGTGAGGTTTTACTTCCTGGCTTGTAGGTGGCTGCCTTCTTGCTGTGTTCTTATATGGCTTTTCTTCTGTATGCACATGCATACAGAAAGGAGAGAAGAGATATATGATGCCTCTTCATATTTATTTATTTATTTATTTGAGACAGGGTCTTGCTCTGTTGCCCAGGCTAGAGTGCAGTGGTGTGAATTCAGCTCACTGCAACCTCCTCCCATGCTCAAATATTCCTCCCACCTCAGCCTCCTGTGTAGCTGGGACCACAAGTGCACACCACCACGTCCAACTATCTCCCTCTTCTTAACAGCATACCCAGTCCTATTAGATTAAGGCTTCAACTTCATGATCTCATTTGACCTCAATTACCTCCTTATAGGCCCTATCTCAAAATGTAGTCACATTGAGGGTTTGGGCTTCAACATATGAATTTGTGGAGGGAGATGCAATTCAGTCCATAATAGTTACCATGTCCCATATAGGCTACCAGCTAAAAACTCTTGAATGTTTGGTCATTTATTCTATCCTTATTGCTCTTTCGGATACTGCAATTTTTTTCTTTATAAAAGGATTATAAATGGAAAGTACATTTCATTCTCTTCCCTTCTAGGAGTCAGGCAATCCTTCTGGTTTTGTATGTATGTATTTTTTACACAAATGTTAATATGTTTGCTCTGCAAACATGCTTTTTATTCACTTAACAATGTAGTTTTTATATCCATGCAAGTACAATATAGAACCTTCTCATTCTATGTAGTGACTGTAAGTACTCCATTTACTAGATGTGAAAAGACTTTTAAAAATCTATCTTTCACTGATTAGCATTTACGCTGTTTCAATCTTTTGCTGGTATATGCTAAAATATAAAGTATAATTTTGAATAATGTGGTTTTTCATAGATACATCAGTATGATAAAATCCTGAAACTCCTACATAAAAAGTTATGCATTTGTAATGTTGGAATGTTGGTCAATGTGGGTAAATGTCTGTACCATTTTGATTGGTTTCCTTGCAGCCAAACACTATTTCCTAATTTTCCTCTCTTTGCCACATTGGTATATGGGACTTTACAATGATTTTACATGTCCAATGGGTTTAAGCTCCTCTGTGCAGCAGGCAGAGCCCTTTATATTCTTTCCCCACTTCCCTTTCTACCCTTTATATTTTCTCATTCTTTACTTTCTGCTATATCAATGCAAACTGCTTATAGTTCCATGCCACCAATGCTGTTTGACTCCCATGTCCTAGCATACATATCATTTCCTTTCTCTGGAATGCTGCCCTTGGCACTTTTTGCTTATGGAATTCTTGTTTTACCTTTCAAAATCCGATTCAGACATCATTTCCCCTGAGTTTTACCTGCTTCTTACACTGTTTTCTGTTGTGGACTTATTAACCTGTGTTTCTGTGGCCAACAGTTAGCATAGTGTTTAGTGTCTGACAGGTCCTCAGATACTTTTTGCTCAAATTTGAAATTTTTATATACATTTTTAGCAAAATACCCTGAATTGTACTCTAACAAACTGCCTGTTTATTTTTCAATTGTGGGCTGAATATAGAGATTTTTACTCTCATGTCTTAAAAGATACACATGAATATTTAGCAATTTGTTCAGTGTAGGTAATCCACATTTGATAATTCAGCCACTGGTGTGGGTTTTATTTTGCTTGGGGTTCCTAATGTGGCTGTTCTCTTTGATTCAGTGTATAGCTTCCAAATACTACCATTATTTTCTTGTGTACTTGGACTGGATTTATATTTTGTACTGAATTCATCTCTCCACAGTCATCATTAATCTGAGGAGCATGCATTGTATTACATGCATCGATGAACTTCTTCATTCATTCCACTAACTTTTAATGAGCACCTACTTTGTGCCAGGCACTGCTCTTGGCACTAAGAAAAAAGACAAAATCCCCAACTTCATTATATACTAATGGGTAAAGACAGGCAATAAATAAACATAGAACAAAGTCACATGGGAGTAAGTAATGGGAAGAAAAATAAAACACTTAAGGAATTATTAAATGGTGGAAAGGGGGCCTGTTAATTTTAGAATTGGTAGTGAAGAACTTTCTAAGTAGGTGATATTTGAGCATTTCACTGAGTCAACGAAATGAGGGAATGGCTATGTAAAGATATGGAGAAGGTTCATTCCAGGCATTGGGTATAGCTAGTACAAGGCCCTGAAAAGGAAATGTGCTTGATGGGTTCTCAGAACTGCCAGAGTGTGAGACTAACTGGTGCAGGGTGAATGAAAGGAGAATGGAAGGAGGTAAAGTAAAAGGCAAGGAAGTGCAAGGTTGTGTAGGGCAGTATAGGTCCTGGTAGAAACTTAGGGTTCCTGTTTTTTTTTTTTTTTTTTTTAATCTGAGAAGGTTGTGAGGAGTAGGAGATTGGGGACATAGGGAGAATGTATACAAGACAATTGCACCTTTACAGAGAGAACACTGGTGAACAGCATAAAGATAAGTCGTCTGTTCTGTAGGCTCTCATCTTCATAATTTCTGAAGAGACCATTTATAATTGCCAATAGAGTTTTAAAGAACAGAGTAAAGCATATAAATAAGCACAACTTAAAAATATTCTAAGTTTGAAAAGTCTGATTTGTAATGACTAATAATTAGTTCTACCTGTATTTTAAAACGCAGAAATTTTTTATTAAAATCATTTTTGTGGGTGAATGCAGAACATTTAATAAAGCATGCCTATATATGCTTTTGATTAGGTAGAAATTACAACGACAAAAAGAGCAGAATGTACAAAACCAAGAGAGAGTCTATTGTGTGAAGGGTCATTCAATGAAGAAGCTTCTGCACAGTCCTTTCAGGAAGTGCTAAGTCAATGGAGAACCAGAAATCATGATGACAAGAAACAGAATTTACACGCAGCAGAAAAAGGTATGGCTTTTCTTTTCTTTTCTTTTTCTTTTTTTTTTTTAGACAGAGTCTCACTTTGTTGCCCAGGCTGGAGCTCAGTGGCGTGATCTTGGCTTACTGCAACCTCCGCCTTCCAGGTTCAAACAATTCTCCTGCCTCAGCCTTCTGAGTAGCTGGGATTACAGGTGTGTGGCACCATGCCGGGCATTTTTGCATTTTTAGTAGAGACGGGGTTTTGCCACGTTGGGCAGGCTGGTCTCGAGTTCCTGACCTCCTGACCCGCCTGCCTAGGCCTCCAAAAGTGCTGGGATTACAGACATGAGCCACTGGGCCCAGCCGGTATGGATATTTTTATAACACAAATGTTTTAAAATGAAGCTGACTTTAGTTTATTTACCTCCATTCTCTGTGAATATAAATGTGATGTTCCAAATCTATAAACACTGGGAAAGCAGTTTGCTGTAACTCCTCAAAGGAGCATCACTGTGTGATCATTGGTGAGTGGTTTAATATTCATCGGCCCTGAACTGGGCACTAGGGGGATTTGCATTTGTTTTCTATGTAAATTCAGGCTGTCAAATGAATGGATAATTGGATTCTTTCAGTTCTTCTTCTAGTAGAAATTTTTGCCAGGACAACTATCGCTTTTTTTGAGCAGTAATTGTAACACATAAAACGGGAGAGTCTGTGAGATGAAGAAGAAATTTTTTTTTTAGAATATTTGACTTAAAAATGCAATTTCAAGGACCACTATGAACTTCAGGGGGAGAATTGATTTGTGTTCTCATTGTTTTTGTTTCTTTTTGAACTGCTTTTTGTTCTTTAATTTTTTTTAAACAGTTTCACTCCTACATTCTAGACATTGATGATCTGGATGACTGAACAGTATCTTTAAGTTTCCCAGTATGTCTTGAGGAAAACCACAAGTTTTTAAAGTATTCAATTTATTATTTTTATTACTCAGAATCTTGTAGTGTCTTCCATTTGCTTTTTATTTAATATAAAATGTTAGATAATAAATTTCAATCATGTATCTTACTTGCCAATTTTTCTATTTTTATTTCATTCATTTTTTTTTTTTTTTTTTTTTGAGACGGAGTCTTGCTCTGTCACCCAGGCTGGAGTGCAGTGGTCGGATCTCAGCTCACTGCAAGCTCTGCCTCCCGGGTTTACGCCATTCTCCTGCCTCAGCCTCCCAAGTAGCTGGGACTGCAGGCGCCCGCCCCTTCGCCCGGCTAATTTTTTGTATTTTTTAGTAGAGACGGGGTTTCACCGTGTTAGGCAGGATGGTCTCGATCTCCTGACCTCGTGATCGGCCCGTCTCGGCCTCCCAAAGTGCTGGGATTACAGGCTTGAGCCACCGCGCCCGGCTTTTATTTCATTCTTTTCCAGCAGAGAAACTCTGCTGATTATTACTCTTTTATTACACCGTGTAATTTCTAATCTCAAAGTATCACACATCATCTTCTAATTATAATTGAACTTTTAAATAAATTTTATTCAAGTATTTTTCTACATTTCTTTATTACACATCAATTTCACTGATATTTTCAAGACATTATTTGTATGGTCTCTTCTTAGTAGTTTATATCTCAGAATACACCTCATTTTTCATTGACTGTGTTATTTTATGTGCTTTATACTTACTACTTCACGCATTTTTTTACTTGTCAACCCTGAAAAGTACTAATTATTCTATAGGAATACCTCTTTGTCTACTTTGAAAGCCATAGTATTTAAAATAATACTGTACCGAGTTGAAAAGTCACCAGATCAGAAGTGCAACTCTTTTAAAATTTGTTCTCCATAATGGAAATAACCGTATGATAAAATAATGAATGCTTATTTTAAAAGACTTGCTTATAACAGAAAGTTACCAAGAAGAAAATGAAAACAGCTCAGTCTCATCATATAGAGAAAATCCATGTTAACATTTTGGTACATGTTTTTCAATAAACATAGTTGTGTACACACACATGCTCACACAAAAACTGAGGTAACACTAAATACTATTAGTTAACTTGCATTTTCACTGAGATTCTGTAATGGGCAACTGGCCATCTAATAGAGATATACACAATCATTTGTAACTCTTGTAGAGTATTCTATATGGCATGATTTAATCAGACATTTATTGATGAATATTTTATTTCTAATTCCCAGTATTATAAAAGATACTATGATAGGCATCTTAGCTATTTGTGCACTTACAGCGTTACCTTAAAATAAATTTCTAAATATAGAAATGTTGTCTCAGTGACTTGTTTTATAAAATTTTAATGAATATTGTCAAACTGTCCTCCAAAAAGATTACTGTGTTGGTTGTACTCTCACTGGTAGGGTGTGACATGACTATTTTCCCATATTTTCTAGTTCTTTAACTTTAGCCAGTTTGGTTGACAATAAATTATTATCATTATAGCTGGCTTTTTACCATTATTTGTGAAATAGACACTATTGACTATTTTTTGTCACTACCTTTTGAGCTAATATTTTAAATACACCATATAGCTAAAGAGTCTCCTCCCAGCAAATATTATTAATTCACTTGCCTGTAGGTCTAGTTATCAACTTATTCACAAGCAAAGTAATCCAGGTCACCTCCCATCTTTATTTCTCGGAAATATGCCATTGGTAAGGGAGAAAAGTGAATCACGGGCCAGCTGCTTTATCTTCTTCTTCCTCCATCATCCTTCTATGTTTAGAGTTTATATCTCAAACACAGTAGCTCTTCTCTAACATCTAGACAGAAAAAACAAAGAATTATTTTTTTCTTTTTTTCCCTTTTAGCTCTGCTCTCAAGAAGTCTTGTTTCAAAATGAAAAGGGGAACTAATGGTGGAGGCATTTCTTTTCTCTCATGACTTGCTCATGTCCTTAAGTGCTCTTTCAGTTCAAGGGATTCTAATCAGTGTTTTTCCAAACTTTTTCCAATTGCTTTCCTCAACACTGCTCTACTCTTTGGGAAGAATAGAAGTGGGATTTCTTACTTTATTTTTGTTTTAATTTGTTTCCGTTGCTGGCCTGTGGCTCTTTCTGGAAGTTAATCATTAAAGTCTACAGTATGAGGCCGGGACATCCTGTAGTCTTAGTTTATAAAAAAATGTTTTTCCCATCTCTATTTCCCTTGATTCTCCTACATTTTTTTCCCCTCGTGATGGTCAGTTTGGAGACAGGAGTGATATGTGGGAGGGTGGAGAGACTAGTGATCCTGGATTTACACTGCTTTATTTCCCAGATATCTTCATCAGTTTTAAATATCTCTAAATAGTAATTTTAATTTAGTAGTGCTTCAGAAATATCTTAAACATCTGGAAGTAAATTACCACGTAGATATAAATTTGTGAAGAAAATTGCCTCCTCCAGATGTCATTATGAGTTATTTATTTCCCATTTCTCATAATGTGTAAATATTATTTTCAGTGGCTATAATACTTTATATATCTGTGTGTTATACCTTTATGTATGTGTTTATATAATGTACAATGAATGTTTGTATTTATAATTTTTATTTAAAAGAATGAGTTGCTTTAACAAACCTTCTGAATCATAAAATCCCTTCATTTTAAGAGATTGTTGAAGAAAACTATGTATCCAGTCACTTAATAAGCTACCGATATTTAATACTTATACATTATTTAAACCTTAATCTATTGATTGTATAGGTAAATATTAAAGCATATATGCCTCACAGATGATGAGTTCTACATCTTGAGAGAAGATATGGTAATTTGTAAACTTGCTTGTATTAATTATGCACATGGTGTTTATTTTTACAGACTCACTGGAAGAATGTGAAGTGCAGACTAATCTGAAAATTTGGAGAGAACCACTTAATATTGAAATTAAAGAAGATATTCTATCCTATATGGAAAAATTATGGCTTAAAAAACACAGGAGGTATTTTCTGGAATTGTAATACTATTAGGAAATATGAAAGTTATTTATGTTTCTTTCTTGTATGACATGCCTTCCTATAGCAATTTTATATGTATATTTCATCTTTGCCTACATAATTTTAAAGCAAGATTAAATCCCTGTGAAGTTGCCGTTCCAATAAGAATTTTAATTCTATTTATGTATACGATGCATCATTAATTTAGATTTTTCCTTGATAAATGGAAATATGTATATGAGGAAAAGGCACAAATGCAGAAAATAATTTAAGAATAATAACAAAAATAATGTGATAAATGAAAGATTACTTAGAGAAGACACCAGTTTTTTCCATTAGCATTAACATTTGAGACTATAATTTTCAGAATCTTGTTTTAAATTAATTAAACCTTTTTCTAATTGTATTAATAATAATTAAATATACTTTATTCAAAGAGATATCACCAGATACAATCATCTAGAAATTTTGGCAAAATACAGGTTATTTTTTCGTAGATCTGAAGTGAGGCCTGAGATTCTGTATTTCTGAATTTCTAATAGTTCCCAGGTGATAATGGTTGGATGAGGGTGGTCTTTTTTTGAGGTGCAAGGTGGTGGAGGAGCTCTCTAGAATTTGCTTGATAAGTGGTCATCACACCCTTCCTTCACCTTCAGTTATGCAAAACCATCTCCTGAGGTGGCCCATTCCATCTGTGAAAGAGATATTCATTGAACTGTAATCTGTTTCCAGCTCATTTCTAAACTTGGCTCTCATTCTACCTATTAAGCCCACACAAGTAAAATCTAATTTCTCTTCTCCATGGTATCTCTTCAGATTTTTTAAATCAACCCTCATGTTTTCCGTAAAGCATCTGCTAGATAGGTTAATACCTGCACCACCACTCACCTTCAACTGTTTTCAGTGTGCTAGATTTTTTTCTTTTGGATTATTTTGAAAAGAAGATATACACATGGGTTTCAAAATAACACAAAGAATTCCTAAGTAACATTCACTCAGCATTCTCTAATGGTAACATCTTACATAAACATAGTGCATATCAAAACCAGGAAATTGACATAGGGACAATATTATTGACAACTGTACATTTTACTTTAATTTTATCATCAGTGTTTTCACTATTATCCTTACCCCATTCCAGGATCGAGTCCAGGATTACACATTTTTTTTTGGTCATATCGCCTTATCCATTACAGTTCTTCAGTCTTTCCCTGCCTTTCATGACCTTAACACTTTTGAAGAGTACTTGCCAGGTGTTTCGTAGAATGTACTAAATTTGGGCCTGTCTGATGTTTTTTCATAATTAGATTGAGGTTATACACTGTGAGGAAAAATACCACGGAGAATATGTGTCCTTCTCAGTGCATGACATTCTGGGATCATGATGTCAATAAATCTTATTACAGATGATGTTAACCTTGATCACATAGTTAAGGTGGTGCTAAGTTTCTCCACTGTAAAATCACTACTTTCCCTTTATAATTGATAAATATTTTACAGGAGATATATTGAGATGATACATCAACACTATTTTCCCTTAAACTTTCACTTCCTGATTTTAGAATTTGTGAGTGAATTTTGCCTGCAGCAGTTAGTACTCTCCTGCTCTATTGCTGATATTCTATTTCATTTTTTCCTTCTAAATTTATTAGTTGGAATTCTTAAAAGAAGTGTTCCTTCACCCACTTTTATTTATTTATTCTTTATTTATGTGAACTCACGAATATTTATTTTATTTTGGGGATTGATTTCTAATATTATTGTTATTTATTTTGCAACTCAAATTATTTCTGCTTTGGCCATTGTGGACTCTCTCGGGTTGACTCTTCCATCCTTTTGACTTGTTGTCAGTTTTTTTTAGTTAGTTTGCTTTGAATATCTCTTTTTTTCTGGAACTCAATATGTATTTTCTCTTCCCCAGCCAAGGAATTGTTTTTCCAAAAAATACTGATTCCCTTTATTGGGGAATTGTGTTCAGAAACAAAGATCTGGACTCCAGGTGTGGTCATTACTATTCTGGTACTTCTAGGCCTTCTCAGAGGAAGAAACAAGGAAGTACACACACACACACACATATACACACACAAATCCACATACACACATATAAATTTTTTTCTGTATCTATCCATCTGGATATCTATTAAAGTAACATGCATTCACACTCAGGCATTCCGAATCCAAACCAGCATCACATGGTTCATTTCCATTCTCCGTTTGCTTATTTGACAAATTTCTTTCACCTACAGTGAGAAACTTGGCTTTCATTATCTATAATATATTTATTAATTAACCCTAAATATATACATATATATATGTATTTATACATACAGTAGTTTCAGAATCACTAACATCACTGAGAGAAATGAGGGACAATTAGTTTCAAAATTCTTAATAATATCACTGAAATAAATGAATTTTCCACCTAGACTAGAGTCTTTTTGTGTCATGCTTTCTATCTGTAGCCTACGGTATCTAGGCCAAACCATGTTTTGCAGCATCACTTTGGCCACAGTGCTCATTTCTTTCTCACCTCCTTTAAGGTTGGTATGACTTTCATTGGGTTCTGCCCATATCCTCACTGATTTTTAAAATTTAAATAAACTTGTGGTGTACAGTTCTATGGGTTTTTACCACTGCATAAAGTAATGTGTCTACCGCAGTACCCCCGCCCCCGCAAAAAACAGTTTCACAACCACAAAAATTACCTTGAGCTTCCTCTTCTCCTCTTCCTTTCTTAGTCCATAATGGCTTTCATCTGTTGTCCACCCTTACAAATATGCCTTTTTTTGAAGGTCATATAAATGAAATCATACAGTGTCTGTCCTTTCATGTCCTTCACTTAGCAGAATGCATTTAAGATTCATTCATGTTCTTGTATGAATCAATATTTCTTCTGGCTGATTTCCAGTTTTTGGCAATTATCACTAGGTCCTTTAAAATATTTTCGTAACAGGTTTTTCTTGAATATAGATTATTAATTGTCTGGGTAAATACCTGGGACTGTGATAGGTGGGCTATATAGTAAGTGCATGTTCATTTTTATAAGAAACTGCCAAACTCTTTTCTACATTGACTGTCCATTTTGCATTTGCTCCAGCAGTGTATGAGAGTTCCGGTTGCTCCAAATCCTTGTCAGCGCTTGGTATTTTCAGTTTTTTTTTTTTTCTTTTGGTTGACATTTTAATAAGGTGTGTAGTTGTATCTCATTGTAGTAGCTTACATGGCAGAGGTTTAAGCTAATTCATTTATAACTAATGTCCAGGCTGTATGTATTTTTTAAAGTATGATGCCCATCATAGCTCTTCAGGCTATTTTTCTTTGCAGGGGTACTGTGGTAGATATATGACTTTATGCATTGGTAAAAATCCACAGAACTTTACACCACAAAATTATTCAAATTTTAAAAGTCAATAAGGATATGTGTAACAGTAGTGTGTATCTGTTAATTGCCTTTTTCTAATTTAGCAATTAGCATATAAATGTAATTCCAGAGTCACTTGTCATTTCTGGTGGCTACCTTTCAATGTTGGGTCATTTTGGGTTTCTTATATAATAAAAGAAGCACAATTTTGTTATTAAGTGACAACTGTCATTTGAGCTTGAACACATACAAGAAAGTTTCATCACAGTCACATCAAGGTCCTGAGCTGTGCTCAATGCTGCGTCTTGGCCAGTTTCCTTAGCAGAAAAGAATACTTAGTGAATATTTTCATGTTCACTAGGGCCTTATTTACATGGTTATTTTTAATAGTAATCTTTTTTTTTTGAGCTAATACTTTATGTCTTGATTATAAATGTCAATGTAGGGCAATCTATTTGCAATTCACAGGTTTCTGATGCATTTCTGATGTTTTGCTTCAGAAAAGTTTCTCATGTAAATAACCATGATCATGATTTTGACTTTACTTTTGCCTATTGCTGTGTTTTATATAGTAGGCTTATAAATATATGTTCTATTGCTTTTTTAATATTTTACTGATTTGGACAGCAAAAGTTTTTAAAAATTTTACCTGCAATCAATACAGAAGTATTGATAGACCTTTTATCCCCTAGCTTTATTGAGGTATAAATAACAAATAAAAATCATATATATTTAAGGTTTACAATGCAATATTTTGATATATGCATACATTGCACAATAATACCTTAATTAAGCTAATATATTCATAATTTCAGATTTTTGTGTGTGACACTTAAGACCTACTATTAGCTATAGTTATTATGCTGTACATTAGATATCCAGAATTCATTCATCCTGTGTAACTGGAACTTTATAACTTTTACCCAACATGTTTCCATTTCTCCCAACCTCCAGCCCCTGGCAACCACCATTCTACTCTCTACTTTTGAGTTTGACTTTTATATCAGTGAGATCATGCAATATTTGTCTTTCTGTGTCTGGCCTATTTTACATAGCATAATGTCCTCTAAGATATGGCAACAACCTAAATATTCATCAATGGATGGATAGATTAAAAATATCATATATGTATAATGGAATATTATTGGGTCTTAAAAAGAAGAAAATCCTACCATTTGTAACAACGTAAAAGTGTTGATAGATCTTAGTAGCAACACCTAGATGGGACCTTTTAGATATGGGAAAGCTTAAAGAAGGAGTGCAGAAGTTTTGGATTAAGAATATTTTAAAGACAGATGTTAGCAACTAGCTGATATTCTGATTCCAGTTCCTTTACTCTTTTCATTGTGTGTACTTCTCAAGTCTAGCTAATCATCAGTAACAGCTGGGAGAAGCTTTTACACTACTGATTCCTGGACACCAGAATGAACTAAAAATTAGTGTCTCTAAGAATAGGTGTGAGACCTAGCATAAAAAAAAAGTATTCCTTGGCCATTTGGATGGAAACAGCCTAACACTGATTCATATAATAGATTTAGAACCACTCATCACACATTTAACCAACTGAAAGGGTCAATGCTCAAAAAATATTTGCTAAATTCTAAAAGAGGAAACTATGGTGAAGTAAATGTTATCTGAAATGTATTTTATCATTTGTATGTGACATCATCTTTAAAAAAAAAAAAAAAAAAAAAGCACTGGTGCCAGGGTTTGAATATCCAGAATCCAGAATTAGTTCTCTGGCTAACTAGTTGTTTATTTATGGGAAAATATCACTTCAATTCTTGTGGCCCAAGTTTTCTCATTTGCAAAATATTGAGTTTAGAACAAACAATTTATATGACACTGTAAACTCCAATAATTCATTATCTAGTTTCTATAAGTCTTTGGTTCAGGGATTTTATGAAGCAAAAAACTTCATAAAGAAAGAATATCTAAATAAAAGTATATTTATGTGTATGTATGATGAATTTTAGTTTGGTAGATCCATGTCAAATTGGAAAGAGGTTTCTTGTAGATGGATACTAGTTTGTCTTTGACATAACTCAATATTTTCATCTGTCACCAAATTAAATTATGGATGTAGGATGCCATACTCATCAAATTTGTTAAGACACAAAGTTAAATAATATATAAATATTGTATAGTCATCTGCCAAGACCAGCTCAGTTGAGGAGACCCTAACCCAGCAGCGCTAGAGGAATTAAAGACACACACACACAGAAATATAGAGGTGTGAAGTGGGGAATCAGGGATCTCACAGCCTTCAGAGCTGAGATCCCCGAACAGAGATTTACCCACATATTTATTAACAGCAGACCAGTCATTAGCATTGTTTCTCTAGATATTAAATTAACTAAAAGTATCCCTTATGGGAAATGAAGGAATGGGCCGAATTAGTTGCAGCAGGAACACACCCTTAAGACACAGATCGCTCATGCTTTTGTTTGTGGCTTAAGAATGCCTTTAAGTGATTTTCCGCCCTGGGCGGGGCAGTTGTTCCTTGCCTTCATTCCCATAAACCCACAACCTTCCAACTTGGGCGTTAGGGCCATTAAGAACATGTCATAGTGCTGCAGAGATTTCGTTTATGGCCAGTTTGGGGGGCTTGCTCCCAAAAGTCATCTTATATATACATTACATATATTGGGAAAACACAGATAACCACAGACTACCAGAAGATTATCAAAATTTCAATGCCTTTAAAGTTGCAGAAGAGGCATTATAAAGGAATTACGTGGTTAAGAACATGGTCTTTGGGAAGCAGATTACTTGAGTTCAAATTCCTCTTCTGCATTCACTACCTTAATGACTCAACAAGTTGGTACACCACTTTGTGTCTCTGTTTCATCCTCCATAAAATTAAGGTTATACTAGTGCCTATTTAATATCTAATAAAATTTAATGTACCAAAATTTGTTAGAATGGAGCCTGGTATATGTAACATTTTGTATCCCATATTAACTACAAATATCATTAAGAAGCCTCTGCTTTTTACATGAGGACTTCATGAGTTTGCATGGTATGGAAGGGCTGTGCAACTACTCATATTCTTGGCTAAAAAGTGACCCTTCTCTCCAGTAATGTGGTTATATACTATGAAACCAAATATACACTCTTGACCTCTGTGAATTCCTGGGCTTCATTGCCTTCCATATGAAATGGGCTGCATCAGTCTTCACTGTTAATTAAGTAATAGATAACACAGCCTGAACACCTTACATTTTTATTGTAAGAGCCTATGTTATCACCCTGCTGTTATGATGGAAGTTTAGACAAATGCCTTCAGGTTCCCTTAGAACTCATCAACACAATGCCAAGACTGTGAACTAAAACTCATATTTATAAATTAGGTTTTTAAGTAGCATGGTATTTTTAATGGACTCCATGTGGCTTTTGAGAGAACACTGACTTGTAGCATAACTTTGATTTTTAGCTTAAACAAAACACAGTAGGATATGCAATTTAAAAATCTTCTGTGATGTCAAGTTGATTTACACAGGTTTTTCTAGTACATTAAGATTCTGTTATACAACTGTATTTATCTTTGAATTAAAGGTACAGTTATGGTTTCATCATTAATTTTGTATACTCACGCATTTGATAAATAAATCAAGAGCTCGTCTGGGAAAGTTTCAGGTAATATATTTCAGTCTCTTAATCGCTTCTTTCTTATTTTGTAGCACTCCACAAGAACAACTTTTTAATCTGCTACCAGATACATTCCCACATCCATGTGAAACCACTGGTGATGTACAGTATTCTCAAAATGAAAATGATGAAGATAGTGATGGTTAGTTCATACTTGATTAGATATTTTTAAAATGTATTATTTCAAATTATATACAATAAGCTTTAATCAGAATCTGCTTTTGGTTTTCTTTAATATATTATTCTCAGTTGTACCATGTAATCTTTTATCTTTAGATTAAAATCATGTAGACTCACTTCTTTCCCTTTCCCTGGATATACTTTGCCTTGATTTAGATGGTTTCATTTAAAAATGGAATGCTAATAAATGTGTATTTCACTTGAACTGGGAAAATTGGCAGTATCTGTATTTTTGTGTAGATATACATGAGAACACTCTTCTTTTTTGGTGGCTATCTTATTTAAAGAAATTGTAAAGTAAGATATATTCTTTGATGATATTATTTGTGAATCTTATTTCCTAGGTGAGGAGACCAAAGTACAACACACAGCTCTTTTATTGCCAGTAGAAACATTAAACATAGAGAGACCTGAACCATCTCTAAAAATAGTCGAACTGGATGATGTAAGTGCATAAGTGCATAATGACCATTCATGCTTTTTAGCAGGGAATTCATAATGTATAGTTACATCTGCATATTATTTTCAATAAGATTTCTCAAATAACTAATATTGCTTAATAGGAAATTTACAGGTGTTTGAGTTCAAATGTGCTTATGAGAATAAAACAATATTATTCTGAATGTAAAGAGTAAATTTGTGAGCTAAACTGGTGTTGTCACTTTTTTTGAATGAATGTAGTATGGGAGTTAAGAAGACATTACACTATTTTAACTTATATAAATGTAGTGTGATATTTTGTTAGTTTAGTTCTATATGTTATCAGGTTTTTTAAACAAATATCAGTCTCATTACATGGTACCTATTAAAATTTAAGTGTAAATTTAGTTTCTTGAATGTCATTTAATATTATTTTCTGTTTAAAGGTAGAAATAGTGTTTAAGACTTAGGAAGTTCAGTAAAATAACTTGAACATGACTTGACCATATATATAGAAGACACCAATAGAATCAGCTAGAGCTAGGACCCAGTCAGAGTTAGAGCTCTGGACTGAAGGTTTAGGGTATGATACACTCAGTGCATTTCTGACTTTCTAGTAATATGGTAGTTGAATGTGCCACTTGTCCTAGATATTTCTCTTACTGTGGTTGTTACAGAAAATGACTAGAACAGAGAACTTACCTTTTTTAAATACTGCTTTCTTCCTTTCTTAGGTTGAAAGCTTCTGCTATTTTTGTTCTTTGTGTTTTTTGGCTAGCAACATTTTTATTTCTCCTCTGGATACATTTGAGAGACTGGACAAAAACACACACACTACATACATGTGGGCATACCATTCATTACATTGTTGATACACAGAGTAAGTTTATGATGAGCCAGTCAGAGAACTGAAAACCTCCTAGTCACTAATCCACTTGGCAGATAATAGTTACATATTTAAATAGAAGTTATTATTGTTGGGTTGGAGTATTACAATAGTGATAAAGTAATTGACATATCAACCAAATGTTAGTTGAATTTGTTTAGTTCTCCTGGAACTTATGTGTTATAAAATATAATTAGAGCTCTCATAACATCATTTGTTGGAAAAACATACTCTCAATATCACCCATAAGTTGGTTAATGTGTAATAAATTTTTGTGAACTTACTTATATAACATTAATTTAATAAGACTTATGAAGAGGAATTTGAAGAACCAGAAAATATTGTGCCTTACAAAGTTGAATTAGCTGATGCAGACAGTCAACCAAGGTAAAGTCTTTCTAGTTAACTTTGTGTGCATATTGAGCCCCTTCCTGACACACACACAAAATCAACTGTCTCTTTAAATGTGAAATTTGTGGTGTCAAAAAACATGTGACATTAATGTTAGAGTATATTTTACTTAACCCATGCTTAAATTTGTATACAATATTGCTAATATTTAATAACATTTAGCAATTAGAAAACTGTCTAAGTGATAGGCTTGTACTCTTAATATTTGGATTATTAAATAAATTATTCTGAACTTAAGGGTTGTTATCCTCTGAAATGGTTGATTAACTTTGATACATTTCATATGAGCTTTGTTCTTTTCTCCAAAGATACTCTGGTTTTTCTTCAGTTTTCTATGAACCCTAAATAAAATGTTTTATAAATGATTAGACTGAGAAACTAAAAGAGCTCCTGTACTATAAATTACTTCGTAGGTAGATTTTAATGTATAATTAAGTAAATGAAGTGTAATGGTTCACTTTGTAATTGTGTTGGAGAATTTTCTCATTTCCAAATGAAAAATAGTATCTGACTGTATCTGTTAGTGATATTAAAACAGTCCTTTTTTGCTGTTGAAACTGTAGGATTTGTAAACGGTGGAATGAAATTCCTGTCAAGTAACCCCTCTACTGATTCTTTATTCAGACCAGCTTAGGCCCCTGTCAGTATTTTGCAATAGCTATGGGCCTGAGTGATTCCCCTGAACAGAAAAAGCCAGTGTTTAGACACACAGAACCAGCGATCCAGCAGCAAATGTGCTTTTGGAAGTAGAGTTTTTGCAGGAGAAAACTTTCTGTTCAACAGATAAGAGGTTTATATCCACCACTCAGTCTCCAAGGAAATGAATGGCATTTCTGTTCTCTAATTTGATTCTTTCATATATCTTATCACATGTTTTGCTTTGACTCCTGTGTAAGGTGTTAGAGAAGGCAGAGAAAGTTACTCATCATGATTTGGCAGTAGTTTTATAGCTTTGGTTTGGAGGTGCCCATAGTACTACATTAATTTTATCTCTCTCCTGAGGATCATGAATGACACAAGAGGGCCTTTTTGGTTGAGTATAATCCATAAGTTTTATGATGCTGTTCTGTAGAGCTTATATAAATATTAGGTATTATTAAATATATTATTCAGTTCATAAGGAATGTTATTTAAATTGTAACTATGCATATAGATAGTAATCATTATTCAAATTTGAAACCTAAATATCACATGCTGCTTTTAAACTCATATCTCAATGATGAACAAATAATATGTTTATCTAGTAGTAAAGCCTTGATTTCATCAGATTTTAATGAGCTTGAAAGATAACACTCCCTTTTTAGAAGAAAATGTAAGAAATCAAACTTATTTCGAGATATTTTGGAAAACAAACTTTCAACTGAAATTTTGCAGTTAAATCAGATTTGGTCCAGTTGCCTATCCCTCTTAAATCCATAATGTTATTAGTTACTTACAGTTGAGAATGTATTCACAGTAAGGTTAAAATAAATATTAAATTAATGTAAATAACCCTGTTCTATTAAGGTTTTACTATATTTGTTTTAATGACCTGGGACTTTAAAAATTTTCTTTTTGAAACATTTTTTCAATTCTATTATTTTGTTTGTCCCTACATGTGAAAGTTGTGCTTTTCATGATTATCAGAAGAATAGCTTTCTATATGAAAATGACATCCATCAACATCATGTTTTCCATAAGGGAAAGAGAGACTTCTTAAATCTTTGTCTGAGAAACAGCTCTACTTATTACAAAGATAATTCAAAAGGTAACATTTTTCTTGTTGCTAAATATTATTAACAGTGCGTGTTGGTAATTTACTATTGCAGTCTATAAAAGCTTTGGTATGCTGCTCATTTTGAAACCAAAAAAAGCTCAGTACTAAAATGAAAATTGGTTGAAAATATAATTTTCTAGTAAATATGCAATTTAGTCAATGGACAACAGTGTTTGTATGTGTAGGAAAAATCAGCCACTATAGGGTACTCTAAAAGTTATTATAGACTCAGCTAGCATTTAAAAGATTACATAGAAGGCCTTTTAGTGACAAAAGTCTGACTGGCACCCTCTTGCCCTCATTTGCACTAAATATTTTCCGGAAATGGGCCGGGCGCGGTGGCTTATGCCTGTAATCCCAGCACTTTGGGAGGCTGAGGCAGGTGGATCACGAGGTCAGGAGATCGAGACCATCCTGGCTAACACGGTGAAACCCCATCTCTACTAAAAATACAAAAAATTAGCCAGGTGTGGTGGCGGACGCCTGTAGTCCCGGCTACTCGGGAGGCTGAGGCAGGAAAGTGGCGTGAACCCAGGGAGGCGGAGCTTGCAGTGAGCCGAGATTGCGCCACTGCACTCCAGCCTGGGCAACAGAGGGAGACTCCTTCTCAAAAAAAAAATATGTGTGTGTATATATATATATTTTTTTTTCCAAAAATATTCAGATCTGATATAAAGTTTCACAAGAGATAAATGAAAATAAAAGAAATCACTAGCTGGGTGCGGTGACTCACGCCTGTAATCCCAACATTTTGGGAGGCTGAGGCAGGTGGATCACCTGAAGTCAGGAGTTCGAGACCAGCCTGGCCAACATGGCAAAACCCCATCTCTACTTAAAAAAAAAAAAAAAAAAATTAGCTGGGCATGGTGGCAGGCGCCTGTAATCTCAGCTACTCAAAAGGCTGAGGCAGGAGAATCACTTGAGCCCAGGAGGCAGAGATTGCAGTGAGCCAACATCATGTCACTGCACTCCAGCCTAGGCGAGAAGAGCAAAACTCCATCTGAAACAAAATAAAACAAAACAAATAATCGTGCTTATATATCTATGATACTGTTACTAGTAGTTCCCTAGGTACCTATAGATTAGAATGATGTGTGCATATGTGTGGTTTCAATTTCCAGATTGTGAGATCATTTAAAGAGAGTCACAGCAAAGTATCCTGGCCTAGGAGTCAGATTTTGTTTCCATTTTTGCCTTTAAATTACTGTCTGACCTTGAACATGTCACTTACTTGCTTAGACTTCATTTTCCTAAGCAAAAATGTAGGAACTAGATAATTTTTAAGCCTCCTTTTAACTATTAGACCTGATCTACCTAGAATTTTAAGAAAAATTAATAAATATATCATATGTGAAGATAAGATTTTTGAGAGATATCAGAGGGCATATCTGAAATAAATAGTTGTAAAACTGATGATTACTTTCTGATTGGGCAGCAGAAGATAGAAAGCAGTGGTAGATGTGTGGTAATCCTGCTGGTCTTGACGTTTTCAAATACTAAACCACTAAATTATTATGGCCAAATATGAACCACAACCACATGGGAATTTAGGACTTTACAGTACTCCAATCTTTTACTGAAGTTGAGTATAGTTTGATCAAGCTAGTGCATGGTGTTTCTGTTGCCTCTGAGAAAATGATGCACATAAATGCCCATGTAATTGTCATTTTAAAGACACATTTTTGAAATGTTTACTTTTTAGAGCAGTTTTAGGTTCACAGCAAAACTGAGCAGAAAGTACCGAGAGTTCCTGTATACCCTTTGCTCCATGCACATACATAGCCTCCCGCATTATCAACTTCTGCCACCAGACTGGTACATTTGCTACAATGGATGAATCTACTTTGATACATTATTGTCACTCAATGTCCATAGTTTACATTAGACTTCACTCTTGGTATTGTACATGCTATGAGTTTGGACAAATGTATAATGTGATATGTATTTACCACTTATAGTGTCATACAGAATACCTTCTTGTCCTAAGAATTATCTGTGCCCTACCTGTTTATCCCTCTCTCTGACCAACTCCTGACAACCAGTGAGTTTTTTTACTGTCCTCATAGTTTTGCCTTTTTAGAATGTCATATAGTTAGAATCATACAGTACCTATCTTTAATAATCGGATTCTTTAACTTAGTAATATGCATTTGAGGTTTCTCCATGTCTTTTTGTGACTTGATCTCTAATTTCTCTTAGTGCTAAATAATATTCAATTGTATGGAAGTACAATAGTTTATTTATCCATTCACCTATTGAAGAACATTTTGGTTGTTCCAAGCTTTAGCAATTATGAACAAAACTATTATAAATATTCATGTATGGGTTTTGATTGGGACTTAAGTTTTCAATTTATTTGGGTAAATACCAAGGAGCATAACTATGGGATCATATGGTACAGATATGTTTAGTTTTGTTTTAATAATTGCCAAACTATCTTACCAAAGTGGCTGTACTATTTTACATTCCCACCAGCAATTAATGAAAGTTACTGTTGCTCCATATCCTCACCATCATCTGGTGTCAGTATTTCAGATTTTTTCCATTCTAGCAATTGTGTAGTGTTATTTCTTTGTTCTTTTTTTAAATTTGCAATTATCTGTTGACATATGATATTGAGAATCTTTTAACATGCTTATTTGCCAACTGTGTATCTTTGTTAAAATATCTGTTCAGGTTTTTAGCTAATGTTTTGATTGGGTTGTTTATTTTGTTATTGTTGAGGCTTAAGAGTTTTTTGTATCTTTTGCATAACACTCTTTTATCACGTATCTTTTCCAAATATTTTCTTTCAATGTATGGATTGCCTTTTTATTCTCTGGACTATTTTTCACAGAGTATAAGTTTTTATTTTAATAAAGTTTAGCTTATCAATTTTTTCTTTGATGTTGTATCTAGAAAGTTATTGTCATATCCAATGTCATCTATGTTTTATCCTATGCTATCTTTTGAGAGATTCATAGTTTTGCATTTTTATATTCAAGTGTGCAATCTATTTTGAGTTCATTTTTGTGACGGTGCAAGGTCTGTGTCTGTATGTATTGTTTCACATGTGGATATCTAGTTGTTCCAGAATCATTTGCTTAACAGATTATATTTTCTTTGTTGTATTGCCTTTGTTCCTCTGTCAAAGATCAGTTGACAATATTTATATAGGTCTACTCAGGACTCTCTGTTCTGTTTCATTTACCTATTTGTCTACATGTATTCCAATACCACACACTCTCTTGATTGTTATAGATTTATAGTGATATTGATGTGAGGTAGTATCAAGTCTTCTGACTTAGCTCTTCTTCGATATTGTGTTCACTATCCTGGGTCATTTGATTCTCTATAAAAAGGCAGGAATTTTGATTGGGATTGCAATGAATCTATAGATCAAGTTTGGAAAATATACCTTGACAATATTAAATCTTCCCATTCATGAACATGGAATATTTCTCTATTTATTTAGAATTTTGATTTCTTTAATCAGAATTTATAGAATTCCTCATATAGATCTTGTACATAATTTTTAGATTTCTATCTATGATATGGCTTGGCTCTGTGTTCCCAACCAAATCTCATCTCAAATTGTAATCCCCATGTGTCGAGGGAGGGACCTGGTGGGAGGTGATTGGATCATAGGAGTGATTTCCCCCATGTTGTTCTCATGATAGTGAGTGAGTTCTCATGAGCTCTGATGATTTAAAAGTGTGTGGCAGATCCTCAGCCCTTGCCAACATGTAAGACATGCCTTGCTTCCCTTTCACCTTCTGCCATGATTATAAGGCTCCTACGACCTCCCAGCCATGTGGAACTGTGAGTCAATTAAGCCTCTCTTCTTAATAAACTACCCAGTCTTAGGTAGTTCTTTATAGCAGTTTTAAAATGTACTAATACAGAAAATTGGTAACAGAAAAGTGAAGTACTGCTGTAAAGATACCTGAAAATGTGAAACTGACTTTAGAACTTAGTAACAGGCAGAGGTTGGAACAGTTTGGAGGGCTCAAAAGAAGAAAAGAAGATGTGGGAAAGCTTGGGACTTCCTAGAGACTTGTTGAATTGCTTTGACCGAAATACTGATAGTGATAATGGACAATGAAGTCTAGGTTGAGATGGTTTTGGATGGAAATAAGGAACTTATTAGGAGCTGAAGTAACGGTCACTTTTGATATGCTTTAGCAAAGAGACTGGCAGCATTTTGCCTCCCTCTTCCACCTAGACATCTGTGGAATTTGAACATCAGAGTGATGATTTACAGCATCTGGCAGAAGAAATTTCTAAGCAGCAAAAAAAAAGCATTCAAGAAGTGACCTGGCTGTTTCAAAAAGCATATAGTCGTATGCATTCACAAAAAAATGGTATGAAATTGGAACTTATGGCCGGGCGCGGTGGCTCAAGCCTGTAATCCCAGCACTTTGGGAGGCCGAGACGGGCGGATCACGAGGTCAGGAGATCGAGACCATCCTGGCTAACACGGTGAAACCCCGTCTCTACTAAAAAATACAAAAAACTAGCCGGGCGCGGTGGCGGGCACCTGTAATCCCAGGTACTCGGGAGGCTGAGGCAGGAGAATGGCGTGAACCCGGGAGGCGGAGCTTGCAGTGAGCTGAGATCCGGCCACTGCACTCCAGCCTGGGCGGCAGAGCGAGACTCCGTCTCAAAAAAAAAAAAAAAAAAAAAAAAAGAAATTGGAACTTATGTTTAGAAGGGAAGCAGAGCACAAAAGTTTGCAAAATTTGCAGCCTCACCATGTGGTAGAAAAGAAACACCCATTCTCTGGGGAGAAATTTGAGCCACAAGCTGCAGAAATTTGCATAAATGAAGAGGAACCAAATATTGATTGCTAAGACAATGGGGAAAATGTCTCTAGGGTATTCCTGAGATCCGCACAGCATTCACTCCCATTACAGGCCTGTATACCTGGAAAGGAAAAATGGTTTCATGGGCCAGGCCTAGGGCCTCACTGCTCTGTTGACCCATGTCCCAGTGGCTCCAAGTGCAGTCAGTGTTAAAACGGGCCAAGATACAGCTTGGGCCTTGGATTCAGAGGGTGCAAGCCCCAAGCCTTGGTGGCTTCCACATGGTGTTGGGCCTGCGAGTCACAGAAGATAAGACTTGAGGTTTGGAAACCTCTGTCTAGATATCAGAGAATGCACAGAAATGCCTAAATGTCCAGGTAGACGTCTGTTGCAGAGGCAGAGCACTCATGGAGAACCTCTACTAGAGCAGTGCAAAGGGGAAATGTGTGGTAGGAACCTACATACAGAATAACCACTGGCGCACTGCCTAGTGCAGCTGTGAGAAGAGGGCCACCATCCTCCAGACCACAGAATGGTAGATCCACTGACGGCTTGCACCATGCAAGCCAGTGATGTTAGACAGCAAGTTTTATTAAAGTAGCAGTGTATAGCAGCAGCAAAGGCAGTGTTCCTTTTGGAACAGGTTTACCCCATAAGCACTGTACCCAGAGTAGCATCTCAGAGGTGGCTCTGCAGTAATATTTTTAGCCACTTTTAATTTCATGCATTTTAAAAGATGAGTTATTTGGAAATTTCTAGAAAAGGAGTGGCAACTTCTGGGTCATCAGGTTGTTGCTGGGGAAACAGGTGGTAACTTCCAGATGTTGCCATAGCAGTGGTAAACTGACATGTCACTGGTAGGCATGCCTTTTTTTTAAACATTTAAGTTCAGAGTGTGTAGGTTTGTTGTGTAGTTAAACTTGTGTCACGGGGATTTGTTGTAGATGTTATTTCATCATCCATTTATTAAGCCTTGTACCCATTATTTTTCCTGCTCCTCTCCCTCCTATCACCCTCCACCCTTCAATAGGCCCCAGTGTGTGTTGTTCACTCTAAAGTGTCCATGTGTTCTCACCATTTAGCTTCCTCTTATAAATTATAAACTAGTGCTTAGTTTTCTGTTCTTTTGTTAGTTTGCTAAGGATAATGGCCTCCAGCTCTATCCATGTCCATGCAAAGTACATGATTTTGTTTTTCTTCATAGTATTCCATGGTATATATGTACCACATTTTCTTTATCCAGTCTGTCATTAATGAGCAGTTGGACTGATTCCATATCTGAGCTATTGTAAATAGTACTGCATTGAACATACATGTATGTGTATCTTTATAATAGAATGATTTATATTCCTTTGAGTATATACCCAGTAATGAGATTGCTGGGTTGAATGGTATTTCTGTCTTTACGTCTTTGAGAAATCACTGCACTGTCTTCCACAATGGTTGAACTAATTTACACTCCCACCAACAGTGTATAAGTGTTCCTTTCTCTCCACAACCTCACCAGCGTCTGTTATTTTATTTTTTACTTTTTAATAATATCCATTCTGACTGGTGTGAGATGGTGTCTCATTGTGGTTTTGATTTGCATTTCTCTAATGATCAGTGATATTGAGCTTTTTCTCATAGAATTGTTGGCCACATGTATGTCCCTTTTACAAAAGTGTCTGCTCATGTCTTTGCCCACTTTTTATTGAGGTTGATTTTTTTCTTGTAAATTTCTTTAAGTTCCTTATAGAAGCTGGCTATTAGACCTTTGTTAAATTCATAGTTTGCAAAAGTTTTCCCCCATTCTGTAGTTTGTCTGTTTACTCTGTTGATAGTTTCTTTCACTGTACAGAAGCTCTTTAGTTTAATTGGATCCTATTTGTCAATTTTTGCTTTGCTGCTGTTGCTTTTGGCATCTTTGTCATGAAATCTTTGCCTGTGCCTATGTCCTGAATGGTTTTGCCTAGATTGTCTTCCAGGGTTTTCATAGTTTTGGGATTTGCATTTACGTATTTAATCTATCTTGAGTTAATTTTTGTATATGGTGTAAGGAAGGGGTCCAGCTTCCATCTTCAGCATATGGCTAGCCAGTTATCCCACCATCATTTTTTGAATAGAAAATCCTTTCCCCATTGCTTGTTTTTCTCGGGTTTGTTGAAGATCAGATAGTTTTAGGTGTATGGTCTATTTTCTGGGTTTTCTATTCTGTTCCATTGCTCTACGTGTCTGTTTTTGTACCAGTACCATGCTATTTTGGTTACCGTAACTCTTCAGTATAGTTTGAAGTTGGGTAGCATGATGCCTCCAGTTTTGCTCTTTTTGCTTAGGATTGCCTTAGCAATTGGAGCTCTTTTGGCTTGACTGTCATTGGTGTATAGGAATGTTAGTGAGTTTTGCACATTGATTTTGTATTCTGAGACTTTGCCAAAGTTATCAGCTTAAGAAGCTTCTGGGCTCAAATTATGGGGTTTTCTGGATTTAGCATCATGTAGCCTGCAAACAGAGATACTTCCTCTCCTACTATTTGGATTCCCTTTATTTCTTTCTCTTTTCTGGTTACCCTTGCTAGGACTTCCAGTATTATGTTAAATAGGAGTTGTGAGAGATGGCATCCTCATTTGTACCAGTTTTCAAGGGGGAATACTTTTGTCCTTTCAGTATGATGTTGTCTCTGGGTTTGTTATATATGGTTCTTATTATTTTGAAGTATGTTCCTTCAATACCTAGTTTATTGAGAGATTTTAACATGAATGAATGTTGAATTTTGTTAAAAGCTTTTTCTGCACCTATGTGGGCATGTCTTAAGGAGAGAGGTACTTTTGACTTCCCTGTTTCCACTAGTCTTCAATCTGGTCTGAAGCCCAGACCCTGCCTCTGTGGTCAAGTCCTGCCTTTTACTTCAGTTGTAGACATTTTAATATAGGAAATGGCATTTTTTTCTCCCCCTAAATTGGATAATTTCCATTCAGGTTTAAGAGGGAAGAACAACATTATTGTGGGAGTTTTATTGTATTGAATAGATTTTAAAAAGGTTTTCTTCTAAAGATGTTTCTCTGAAACAGAGATTATTTTATTTCTCCCAATATATATGCTATCAGAGAGGTAGCAGAAGTTGAAAGAAGTTCAAAATACTATCTGAAATTGTCGAGTTATATAAACATTTGATTGCAACAAGCAAGTCCTTTGTAAAGCTGTAAAGCATTTACATCACTGGAGACAGTTTTATTCAAAGTTTCTACTATTTTACATAGTCTACTTATAGAGACATTTGTTTTTGGAACAGAGTAAGGGATAACAGAAGAAGCTATATTCAATCTGGATAATGGTGTACATTTATTTAAAATGAAAGCAGTGTGGTGTAAACATTCAAAGAATTTTTATTTTTCAGAAAATCTGGATCAATGTTTCACTACTGTGCTACACACTGTAATTACCTGGACAACATAGCAAGGGGAAGTTCAAAAGACCAATGCCTGAGTTCCACTCTCAGGATCTGATTAATTGGTTTGGGGTCAGGCCCATACACTGACAATTTTAAAGAGTGCCTTCAGATGATTCTACTGTGCAACCAGGTTAAAAACCAGTGATGTAAACCAAATGATTTATTTAAAGCAGACATAATGAGGTGGATGACTAATACAATTTTGTTCATTTTGTAGCTTTCTAGAGGCAGGTGTCCGTGCTACACATTTTCTGGGCCCCCAGCTGCTGCTCTTCTTTCATCTAGCACATTTCCCTGTGCCCTCTCTTTATTGCTAGGCATGCTAGGGAAAAATGGCAAAATGAAAAAATCTTCCCTCTGTGTTACTTCTCATGAATTATTGTTGTAAAATTTGAGTGAGAGGAGGAGGTGGGAACGTGAGAATTGAACCACAGGCTGAAATAAAAATTTGCATAAATTTTAAGATCTCATTACAAAATAAAATATTACCTTCTTTTACTAGTCTAGCTCATTAATATTTGGCTGTATAAGGAATTATGATTACCACTTATGAATATAAGCATAGTAAAAGTATGATAACACTAAAACATCAGTAAAGGAATTTGTGAAATAGTGTTTATTGATAAAGTTTTTTTTTCACCGCAGAACTTTTGGTTTATTAACAGTTTTATTATTTGTTTAAATTTGATTATGTACCTTTTGTAACTGTGTGTTTTTAACAGCAGAAACTTCAAACACAGATATTGACAACATCGTGGATCCTGATGTGTATTCTCCTGACATTGAAAAAATTGGGGAAAGCACCTCCTTTGAAAGAAATTTAAAAGAGAAAAGTACAGGTTTAGAAAGTAATCAAAAGTCTGATGATTCCTGCATATCACTTGAAAGCAAGGATACTTTGCTAAGTATAGATTTAGAAAAACCTCCCATTGAGGAGAAATTATCTCAAGACATCAAAGAATCCTTGGAATTCAGCAATCTGCATAAGACGCCACGCTTTGAAGATTCAAAAACTACAAAGTCATCACTGGTAAATCTCTACTATGTTTATTATATTAGAATTTTATAAGAAATCTTATAAGAAAATGTCTTAGTGACACAATACATTCTCAAGTTACTTCCTATTAAAGTTAAAATGTGCTGTCTTACATTATTATGAGATAGTTGAAGAGTGACTCATATGGAAGAGAACATTAATGACTTCTAGGACAAATTCTAATATGAGGAATGCCATTTTAATAAATGGCTTGCTGTGATAAATAATACTTTAAGGCCCACCTTATGCACTATAGTAAGAGCACTGTTACTTTTCCAAATGAAATTCATTATGAATAATACAGTATAATAAATCCTTTCTAGTTTTTTACAATAGTATAGTCAATGGTCAAAGTGAAATAAATGCAGATATCTAGATAGAACCAGTTACTGTGGTTTAATGTAAGTATAAGATGAAGAAGGTAATTATTTCAGGAAGATGGCTAATAAAGAAACGGAGTTGTAGTTTTTGTTTCTTCTCACAGGAAAGGTAAAGGAAAAGTTGCTCATTTTTTCATTGTTACCACGTTATAAAACTATATTTGAATTTCATTCTATATACTAGAAATCTTTACTAATTATAAATATTAATAATACATTCTTTGGAAATTTAAGTGAGGCAAATATTTTTAATAATGCTCAAAAGTCATATAAAATGAATTCCTATGGTTCCTGAACTGAAGAGGGAAGCAAAAAAGCAGAAGGATGAATACTTGAGTTGTTTCTACTTCTGCTTGGAGGGCTGGTTTTCTGTGCCCACTTTGTTACATATGTTGTGCCTTTGTGAGATACGAAATTGAAACTGAGGCCTCTGCAAAAACTTAGACCCCTAAATGTCTGATCAGTCATGTAAGGAATGCACTAGGAACATGCACATAGGTGCAACAAGATGAAAGGAAACTGATTTCTGCAAGTGATCTTGGCTAGGTCAATCAAACATTTCACCTGGAAAATAGATGTCTTGGGCTTTCATTTAGCATAGATTTGGATGTACCTACTCCAATATACATTTGCGTATATATTTCTTGCTTGTCAAGCCAAGACATTAACATTATTGTTAATCCATGCCTATTAATACCCTGATGTATCTGACAGAAGTAAATCCTAATACTTTATAAATGAACATCCTTACAACTTATCCCACAATAGATTCCACAAAATAAAGCTCCACTTCAGATGGGCTTATCTTCTCGTTACCTCAGTGAAGCAAACAATTGATCATAGCATGAATTTCAGCAGAGAAAACAAGAACTTCAATTTCCACATTTCCAAAGGGCAACATGAAGAGTACCAGGTGACATCTATATATACAGTGAGCTGTGTGATAAGTGAGGAATCCTGACCTTAAGAAACCCGATCTTTTACACTGGGCAGTAAGCCTGCCAGACCTTTGTCCTAGAGGAAGACTATCTTTATTACACTAGACAGTAAACAAACCTGCTCTTTGCTCTAGAGAGAGACTCAATCTCTATCCTCTGAGATTATATTTAAAATGTTTAAAAATAGGAAGAAATTAAAAGAACTTAAGAATAAGATAGTATGAACTGCTCCATTTATGAAGGCTAATAAAAAGTTCTAACATTCAAAATATATTTATTCAAATTATAATTAAATGGATACTAAACAGCATATTAAATACAAATAAGGAGAGAAATATTACCCTGGAAGGTAAGTTTTAAAAATTGCTTGTATTGCAGCAAAGACATGTGACGAGTTAGTAATATGACAGATTGCAAAATAACCAAGTACAATTCCAGAACATTATAAATAAAAACAAATCCACATTATGACTTTCATTTGAGATACCTCATAGACAATCTTAAAAGCAATAAAAGACAATAGAAAATTATCTCCAAAAGCAATTACTAGATTGACAGTAAAATTCTCATGCACAGCAACAGGGAGCCTCAACAGTGTAACACAGTGGAACATTATATTTAAACTTCTAATAGAACTGACTAACAATCTAGAATTCCAAGGCTTGCAAAACTGTCATTCAAGACCAAGAATAAAATAATGGCAAGTTTAAACAAAAGTTCAGGTAATTTAGTTATTTCCCCTCTTGAATGAACATCTGAATGATATACTTCAAAAAAGAAATTAAACCCGGAAGGAAGAAGTAGGATGCAAGAAATAATGGTGTGAGGGAAAAATGAAAAATATATTAGATGTATTACAAAATAATTATTATAATGCCCAATTTGAGAATTACAAAAGAAGAAATTTGAATGAGAATAATATGTGCCATAACTTGTAAGACTGTTAGATATGTATGATTACAGTTAAAAGTACTAAGATTCTGTATTACAAAGAAGGTAGAGACCATTGTAGGAATTGTTGTTGACTTAGTGTTTTAGTTACACATGTTAAATACTTTGAGTAACAATTAAAATGTTACAGACACAATGTACATCATCCAAAACACTAAAGGAAAAGGGGAATATAAAAAACTCAATTAACTAAAACAGTCAGGAAATAAATGCATCAGAGGAAAAATAGTATGGTTAAGTATTGGGTATACAATTCCTCTTGGGTCGCTCATGTTTTTTTGCACATCTTTTGAGCAAAACCACTGACTCTATTTGTTCCAAAGTATATTTTCAAGAATGCTTGTATAGATAACAGCTTTGAACGATAGAGATTATGTCCCTCTTCAGAGCAAAGACTAGGTTCGTTTATTGTCTGGTATCATATAAATAATGTTTTCCTCTGGCAAAGGTCAGGCAGGGTTACTGCCCAGTATAAAATGGATTTCCTAAGGTCAGGATTTCTCTCCTGCACCACAGCTCAGGGTGTGTGCAGATGTCACGTGGCTCTCTTCATGATGTCCTGTGAAAATTGGGTTCTGGGAATTGGCGCAAATGATGATACTCTGGCAACTGTTATTGTTGTGAGTGAGAAAATCCTTTGTCTCTGACCAAGGAAACTTGTATCTTCTTCCAGCATACGTGAAACTGTAACAGGTTTGCAAGTAGGGTAAAATCTCAGACCCTTCACAGTTCTTGACAGCAAGTAGAAAGACTAAAGCAAGCTGACAGGAATAAATTCAATCATATAAGTAATTAGAATAAATGTGGACTCTGTGTGTGTGTGTGTAGAGTTATTTTACCAGACACCTGCTTAAAACATGGGGTGGCAGGAAGGAATTTCAGAGTAAAGGCAAGCACTAATTAAAAAAATAAATAAAAATTTAAGATAATAAAACATTATTGGGGTAAAGGGGACCATTGTGTAGATGTTAAAATCATTTTATTTAATAGGAAGATTAAAGAAAATCTGAATTTGTGTGTACCTATCAATATAGCCTCAGATAAGTTGTAGCAAAAATGGACAAAATCACGTGGTATTATTGACAGATCCATCAATCTAATATGATTTTCTATTAATAAAGATAGAGAAGATTTGATCAATACAAATAAGCTTAAAGAACATATTTAGAACCACATGCTCAATAATTAGAGAATGTGTGTTCTTTGCAAGAACAAATGGAACATTTGCAAAATACATGTTACAAAATATTACAAAAATAAATCCACAAAGGAAGTTTCAACAAATGCTAAAGAAATCATATTACACACTGTGTTTTCCAATCATAATACAATAAATTATAAATTGATAGCAAAATGCTAACAAAATTAATACAATTCAAATATGTCTAGGTTTTTATTTATTTATTTTAATTTTATTTATTTATTTTTTTGAGACAGAGTCTCGCTCTGTGGCCCAGGCTGGAGTGCAGTGGCGCGATCTCGGCTCACTGCAAGCTCCGCCTCCCGGGTTCACTCCATTCTCCTGCCTCAGCCTCCTGAGTAGCTGGGACTACAGGCGCCCACCACTACGTCCGGCTAATTTTTTGTATTTTTAGTAGAGACGGGGTTTCACCGTGTTAGTCAGGGTGGTCTCCATCTCCTGACCTCGTGATGCGCCCGCATCGGCCTCCCAAAGTGCTGGGATCATAGGTGTGAGCCACTGCGCCGGGCCAAATATGTCTAGGTTAATGAAAAAAAATTAAAATAGAAGGTAGAAATATTTAGAACTGAATGTAAGGAAAAACATCACAGATAAATAATGTATAGGATGAAACTCAAATACTACTTACTGAGAAATTTATAATCCCAAATGCAAGAAAAAAGTAAAAATTAATGAACTATGAATCTGACTCAAAAGCAATAAAGCAATCATAAACTCAAAGGAATTCACTGGAAAAACTCTTTCCCGTCTTTCTCTTCAATTCAGCAGGAGAGGATAAGGAAATATGTATTGCCCTCAGGCCCTGCCTATTTATCCAATCCAGGGAAACTTTCATTTAGTTAGATAGTCTGATGATTTGCATCCCATCGACTTTCTGGTCTACTCTCAGCTGATCAGAGTCTGTCAGGATAGCTGTGACCTACATAGCACCAATAATTTACAGAAGGGTTCCTTTACTTCTTTTATGTGTTAATACATGCTACCCTATTCAATTAATGTAACAGGTGTGTCATTAGGTTTAGCTGTTTCTTAAAAGGAAGGTATGTGACATGAACATACAGAGGGGAACAGCGTACATTGGGGCTTATCAGAGGGTGATGAGTGGGAGGAGAGAATTAGAAAAAATAACTAGTGGGTACTAGGCATAATGCCTGGGTGATGAAATAATCTGTACAACAAATCTCCATGACACAAATTTACCTATGTAACAGACCTGCACAAGTACCCCTGAACTTAGAAATTGTTGGGGTTTTTTGTTTTGTTTTGTTTTTGTTTTGTTTTGTTTTTTGTTTTTTGTTTTGTTTGTTTTTTGTTTTTTTTTTTAAAGGCTGGGCGCAGTGGCTCACCCCTGTAATCCCAGCACTTTGGGAGGCCGAGGTGGGTGGATCACAAGGTCAGGAGTTTGAGACCAGCCTGGCCAACATGATAAAATCCCGTCTCTATTAAAAATACAAAAATTAGCTGGGCGTGGTGGCAGGCACCTGTAATCCCAACTACTCAGGAGGCTGAGGCAGGAGAATCGTTTGAACCTGGGAGGTGGATATTGTAGTGAGCTGAGATTGTGCTATTGTATTCCAGCCTGGGTGACAGGGTGAGACTCCATCGAAAAAAAAAAATGAGAATGTGTGTGTGGCTGGGATACGTTCTTGTTTTATTCAATTTAAGACTATCCATTGCTCAGTATAAAATATTGCTCAGTATAAAATATGTTCTGACAGAGCTAGTTCAGGAAACAATCTGAATGAGTATTTAAGTGCATAGGATCCATAAAGTTCTCAGCAGCTCAAACCTGCTGACATAATCAAAAGCCAGTGACTGTTGTAAAATGGCTTACATGGTTATTGTTTTTTTCAATTAGGTGAGACTAAATGTAGTCCTGGACAGTAATAAAATAGTGTTATGTAAAGATTGCCTTTTCCTCATGGGGGATATTGGATTGAGAGATTTGAAGTTTTTTCAGGAATAATCTGTTGTAGGATTTTAGAAGTATTCTCAACAAACTAATGGGTTTCTAACTCCAGGATTGCCCCTTATATAAATAAAATAAAGCATGTTTTAATCCATTCCTAGGTAATTATATCTGATGAATAAAAAAGTGTAAATAGTTTCACAGACATTGTCCACCACTGGTAAGACAGGACTTAAGCTGAGCGCCAAAGGTTCTCCTGAGCATCTTATTACGGGAGATGGCCAATCTCTGTAAAGAATTAAGTTGTTGGATCACAAGAGAATTTGAAGAGTTGCAAAACAAAAGGTGAAAAGCAGATGGAAGGGAGCTGTAAAATAGAGCTTTCTGAAGTGGCCATCAGAATTGGTGCTTCACAGTTTGCAGACTGAGTTCCTGCTTCTGAATAAAGTGGTTGAATCTACTTTCTTTTCATTCCTAAGAACTAAACCTGAACCTATTTTACTCTTTTTCTGTCCTAGTAGAAGTCATTCCATCAGAAGAAACTACTTATATATCTATTGTGCTCCATCCAAATTGAGCATAAAATTGTTTCTTTTGTACTTCAGTTTTTAGAAAATGATTTCTGTGTAAGGTGGAACTTCCTACAGAATTAAGTACTAATTTGTAGGGCAGTAGCTAGGAAAACAATGGACTAGTCAGGTGTCCTTTGTTCTGGCTCTAAAACTATCAATAGTTAACTTTGTAAGTTTGTGCTAAAAGTAATAAAACATAACTATTTTAGGATTTTTATCTGTAAACCAAGACATTCAAAACTCTTCCAGATTTGCAATTGCATAATTCAAATATAAGCTTCACTAGAGTGGAAAGAATTCTGTAATTGTTTATCAGTGTCTGGGAGGGCCAGGGAATATGTGCTTAGAATTTTGGATTTGGATTTGTCTTTGAATGACATGCTTTATTGGTCACTAGCTTTGTTCTTTAATATTATCTCATTTATATAATTTATAAATTTATATTAAATTAAAGTAATTTGGTTTACATTGATTTATTGCAACAGACTATATTTGGGCATTAATTAGATTAGATTCATTAGGGAATTGTTAAAAACTGATAGCTACTCTGATTATACTATAACCTCATCTAGAGCTATTACTAATGAATTCCTAATCTGTTTCTACTGGATTCACATTTTTTAAAATCCCAGTTATATTCAATTCTAGAATAAGAACATGTAAAAATGACTTAATAGGGTGGCAGGATAAGTCTACGTTTCAAATCAGTCAGACCTATATTCAAAGCCTAGGTCTGCTAGTTTCTAGCTATATAAACTTCGTAAATTACTTATCTTCCTCTTGCCTCAGTTTCCTACTTGTGTATTTGCTTCATGATGAGTGTTTTGTTAACTTACATTTTTTTCCATGACCATTGTCAGGTCAGATATTTCCCATTGGTATTTTACCTTCAATTTTGAAATTATTTTATATATAGACAAAGACACTAGTTCACAGCCACTGCATGTGGAAGTAACTCTGAATTCCAGGATAATTTATGTGCAAGGACACTGAGGGATGAAAATAAAGGAAGAAAAAGAAAAAAAATTATTTTATTTCATGAATTTCTGTCCTTTTTGGATTAATATCAACTTTCAGAGAATCATTATAACGGTAGTTAGAACTTACTATATACAAAAATGTTGTGTTACTATTTGTCTCCACTGTTAGAAACTAAACTTGATGAGGGAAGAATTTGTGCCAAGTATATAGTAGGTATCTGATAAATGAATATGCTTGTTTGTGTTAATGAGTTAGAAAATAAACTTTATAATGTTGAATATTTTGTTTCTTAGTTGTTACAAGAAATAGCCTGCAGAAGGAAGCCTATAACAAAACAATATCAAGGACTTGAGAGATTCTTTATTTTTGATACAAATGAAAGACTCAACTTACTTCCTTCTCATCGTTTAGAATGCAACAGTTCCAGTACTAGGATTACACTTGCAGGTAAAGTTCTAGCTCATTTTTCTAAAACAGTCTGTTCTCATCTTAGGAAACACTGGGCAGTTCTGTTCAATGGATAAAATCATTTTCTTCTTGCCTAAAATTATTGACCTTGTATTAGTTGCTATATATTTACATTTAAGGTTACTATCAGAATGTGAGAAACTATGACTTATAATGAAACTAGGAAAGATTATTTTTAGCATTTAGAAGTGTGGTTATTTTAGACCTTTTAGTGTTGCTATAAAGGAATAACCAAGGCTAGATAATTTATAAATAAAAGAAGTTTATTTGGCTCAGAGTTCTGCAAGGCGTGTAACTAGTATGTGCCACCATCTGGTTGGTGTTTTACATTACTGCAAATAGTGAACAAAAGTTCCGATTGTTACGCATTCTTGACAATACTTGTTCTTTTCTTTTTTTGGCAGGGGCGGGGGAGAGTAGTCATCCTCATGGGTCTGAGGTGGTATAATATTGTAGCTTAGATTTGCATTTTCCTCATGATTAGTAGTGTTGAGTATCTTTTCATGTGCTTATTAAGTCATTTGTATATACTCTTTGGAGAAATGTCTATTCAGTTACTTAGCTCATATTTTAATTGGGTTATTTGTTTTTTCATTGTTGAGTTATAGGAGTTCCTTATTATATTCTGGATACCACTTCTTCATAAGATATATTATTTGTAACTATTTCCTCCCATTCTGTGGATTGCCTTTTCACTCTGTTGATAGTGTCTTTTGATGTAATTTTTTCCAATTTTTATAAAGTCCAATTTGTCTATTTTTGTGCTCTTGCCTGTTCCTTCAATGTCATATTTAATAATTCATTTCCAAAGCCAATGTCATGGGTCTATACTTCTAAGGTATTTGTAGTTTCAGGTTTTATATTTAGGTCTTTGATCGATTTGAGTTTATTTTTGTACATGGTATTAAAAGTCCAGATTCATTATTTTGCATATGGATATCAAATTTTCCAGCACCATTTGTTGAAAAGACCTTTCTTTCCCCCATTGAATGGTCTAGGCACCCTTGTCAAAAATTATTTGGCTAAGAGAGTAGATTTTAAGTTTTCTCACACACAAAAAAATTATTGGTGAGTTGAGATATATGTTAACTAACTTGATTTAGCAATTCCACAATATGTACATATTTCAAAATATGTTTTATACCATAAGAATAACTTTTTTCAAATAATTGTAATTTGATCATATATGTGGGGATATATTTCTGGGTTGTTTACCGCATTTCATTGGTCTATATGTCTGTCTTTGTACCAGTATCACACTGTTTTGATTACAGTATCTTCGTAATAAGTTTTGAAATCAGCAAGTGTGAGTCTTTCAGCTTTGCTCTTGTTTTTAATATTGTTTTGGCTATTCAGGGTCCCTGTTGATTGCATGTGAATTTTATGATTTTTTTTTAATTTCTATGAAAAACGTCATTGAGTTTTTGATAGGGATTATATTGAATATGTAGATCACTTTGGGTAACATTGGCACCTTAGCACTATTGACTCCTCCAGTTCATGAACATAAGGTATGTTTCCCTTTATGTGTGTCTTCTTTAGTTTCTTTCAACAATGTTTTATAGTTTTCATTGCATAAGTCTTTCACCTCCTTGGTTATGTTGATTTCTAAGTTTGTTTCTTTTTGATGCTATTGTGAATGGAATTGTTCCTTTAATTTCCTTTTCAGATTGTTCATTGTTAGCATATAGAAATACAATTGGTATTTGCCTATTGACTTTGTATCTACTACTTTGCTGATTTCGTTTATTTTAACATACTTTTGTGTAATCTTTAGTGTCTTCTACATATAAGATCACATCATCTATGAACAAAGATAATTTTACTTCCTCCTTTCTAATTCAAATGTCTTTTATTTCTTTTTCTTGTCTGTTCTGGCTACTTACATTGAATAGAAGTAGCAAAAGCAATCATCCTTGCCTTGCTCTAGATCTTAGGAATTGTTCTTTTTTTTCATCATTGAGTTTCATGTTTGCTGTGGTTTATTAACATATTACTTTCATTATGTAGAGGTATTTCCCTTTTATTCCTAGTTTGTTAGGTGTTCTTATCATAAAAGTGTGTTGGATTTTGTCAAATGCTTTTTCTGCATAAATTGGGATGATTATGTGTTTTTTTTTTTCTTTCACTCTATAAATGTGGTATATTACATTGATGGATTTTCATATGCTGAACCATCCTTACATTTCAGAAATAAATGTTATTTGATCATGATGTATAACCCTTTTTAATATGCTGCTGAATTTGGTTTGTTAGTACTTTGAAGATTGTTACATCACTGATTATAAATGATATTGTTCTGATGTTTTTTTTACTTGTAGTGTCTTTGTTTGGCATTAGTATCAGTGTAGGTGTAGACTCACAGTTTGAGTTGGTGTCCCTCCTCTTCAATCTTTTGGAAAAGTTTGAGGACTGGCGTTATTTCTTCAAATGTGTGATAGAACTCACCAGTGATGCAATTAGGTCCAGGACTTTTATTTATTGGCAAATTTTTTCTTACAGATTTAATCTCCTTACTAGTTATATATATTCCAATTTTTTGTTTCTTCATTTTTTTTTAAATTTTATCTTAAGTTTTGGGGTATGTGCGCAGAACATGCAGGTTTGTTACATAGGTATACATGTGCCATGGTGGTTTGCTGCACCCATCAACCCATCACTATATTAGGTATTTCTCCTAATGCTATCCCTCCCTTATCCCACCACACCCTGACAGGCCCCAGTGTGATGTGTCCATGTGTTCTCACTGTTCAATCCCACTTATGAGTGAGAACATGTGGTGTTTGGTTTTCCGTTCTTGTGATATTTGCTGAGAATGATGGTTTCCAGTGTCATCCATGTCCCTGCAAAGGACATGAACTCATCCTTTTTTATGGCTGCATAGTATTCCATGGTGTATATGTACCACATTTTCTTTATCCAGTCTATCATTGATGGGCATTTGGGTTGGTTCCAAGTCTGCTGTTTTGAACAGTGCTGCAACAAACATATGTATGTATGTGTCTTTATAATAGAATGATTTATAATCCTTTGGGTATATACCCAGTAATGGAATTGCTGGGTCAAATGGTATTTCTAGTTCTAGATCCTTGAGGAATTACCATACTGTTCTCCACAATGGTTGAACTAATTTACACTCCCACCAACAGTGTAAAAGAACTCCTATTTCTCCACATCCTCTCCAACATCTGTTGTTTCCTGAATTTTTAATGATCACCATTCTAACTGGCGTAAGATGGTATCTCACTGTGGTTTTGATTGGTATTTCTCTAATGACCGGTGATGATAAACTTTTTGTTTGTTTGTTTGTTTGTTGGCTGCATAAATGTCTTCTTTTGAGAAATGTCTGTTCATATCCTTTGCCCACTTTTTGATGGGGTTGTTTGTTTATTTCTTGTAAATTTGTTTAAGTTCCTTTTAGATTCTGAATATTAGCCATTTGTCCAATGGATGGATGGCAAAAATTTTCTCCCATTCTGTAGGTTGCTTGTTCACTCTGATGATAGCTTCTTTGCTGTGCAGAAGCTCTTTAGCTTAATTCGATCCCATTTGTCTATTTTGGCTTTTGTTGTCATTGGTTTTGGTGTTTTAGTCATGAAGCCTTTGCCCATGCCTATGTCCTGAATGGTACTGCCAGGTTTTCTTCTAGGGTTTTTACCGCTTTTGCTCTTACATTTAAGTCTTTAATCCATCTTGAGTTAATTTTTATATAAGGTGTAAGGAAGGAATCCAGTTTCAATTTTATGCCTATTGCTAGCCCGTTTTCCCAACACCATTTGTTAAATAGGGAATCCTTTTCTTTTACTTGTTTTTGCCAGGTTTGTCAAAAATCAGATGGTTGTAGATGTATGGTATAATTTCTGAGGCCTCTGTTCTATTCCATTGGTCTATGTATCTGTTTTGGTACCAGTGCAATGCTGTTTTGGGTTACTGTGGCCTTGTATTATAGTTTGAAGTGAGGTAGTGTGATGCCTCCAGCTTTGTTCTTTTGACTTAGGATTGGCTTGGCCATGTGGGCTCTTTTTTGGTTCCATATGATATTTAAAGTAGTTTTTTTCCAATTCTGTGAAGAAGTCAATGGTAGCTTGATGGGGACAGGATTGAAAATAAAAATTACTTTCAGCACTATGGCCATTTTCATGATATTGATTCTTCCTATCCATGAGCATGATGTTTTTCCATTTGTTTGTGTCCTCTCTTGTTTCCTTGAGCAGTGGTTTGTAGTTCTCCTTGAAGAGGTTCTTCACATCCCTTGTAAGTTGTATTCCTAGGTATTTTATTCTCTTTGTAGTAATTGTGAATGAGAGTTCACTCATTATTTGGCTCTCTGTTTGTCTGTTAGGGGTGTATAGGAAAGCTTGTGATTTTTGCACAATGATTTTGTATCCTGAGTCTTTGCTGAAGTTGCTCATCAACTTAAGGAGGTTTGGGCTGAGACAGTGGGGTTTTCAAAATATATAATCATGTCATCTGCAAACAGAGACAATTTGACTTCCTCTTTTCCTAACTGAATACTCTTTATTTCTTTCTCTTGCCTGATTGCCCTGGCCAGAACTTCCAATACTGTGTTGAATAGGAGTGGTGAGGAGGGCATCCTTGTCTTGTGCCAATTTTCAAAGGGAATGCTTCCAGGTATTGCCCATTCCGTATGATATTGGCTGTGGGTTTGTCATAAATATCTCTTATTATTTTGAGATATGTTCCATCAATATCAAGTTTTATTGAGAGTTTTTAGCATGAAGTGCTGTTGAATTTTGTTGAAGGCCTTTTCTGCATCTATCGAGATAATCATATGGTTTTTGTCATTGGTTCTCTTTAAGTGATGGATTACATTTATTAATTTGCATATGTTGAACCAGCCTTGCATCCCAGGGATAAAGCCGAGTTGATTGTGATGGATAAACTTTTTGATGTGCTGCTGGATTGGCATGCCAGTATTTTATTGAGGATTTTCGCATAGATGTTCTTCAGGGATATTG